ATCCAGAAACACTTAAACCTGTGTTCCTAACAAATAAGGACTCGAGAGATCTTTGAAACACAACTAAAATATCATTATCACAACTTTCAAACTTTAGAGTCATTTCTTTTTACTTTATTATTATATTTTTTAATGTTCATTTATTTCTGAGAGATGAAGAGCGACAGAGAACGAGCAGGGGAGGAGCAGAGACAGAGGGAGACACAGAAGCCGAAGCAGGCTCCAGGCTCTGAGCTGTCAGTACAGAGCCTCACGTGGGGCTTGAACCCACGAACTGTGAGATCATGCCCCGAGCCAAAGTCAGACCCTTAACCGACTGGGTCACCCAGGCGCCCCAAGAGTCATTTCTTCACATTATCACATTTCTGCGATTGTCCCCTGCATATCTTGCTTTTCATTTTTAAGAATAATGTTTTATTTCAAACATACAGAAAGCGTGAGAATATAATTGTTTTTTTTTTTAATTTTTTAAAATGTTTTTATTTATTTTTGAGACAGAGAGAGACAGAGCATGAGCAGGGGAGGGGCAGAGAGAGAAGGAGACACAGAATCTGAAGCAGGCTCCAGGCTCTGAGCTGTCAGCACAGAGCCTGATGCGGGGCTCGAACTCACAGACTGTGAGATCATGACCTGAGCTGAAGTCGGACACTTAACCGACTGAGCCACCCAGGCGCCCTAGTTAGCACTTCTTATATACCTGAAACTATCGTGAGTGCTTGGTATACGTTCTTTCATTTCATCCTGAAAGCAAGTTTTTAAGAGGAGGCGATACTATTATCCCCATTGTACAGAAAAAGGAAAATGAGGCACAAGGAGGGAGGTCACTTATTCAAGGTCACACAGGGTCAGGGTCAGGATTTAAACTCCTGCAGCCAGGCCCTGGAACCCACGTAATTTGCATTTATGCTTTGCTGCCTCTTGACTGGGGCTGAGGGCGTGATGGTGGAGAAGTGGCCTGATTGGAGAGGTTAACTTAACAGAGCCTAGATAGGGGTACCTGGGTGGCTCAGTTGGTTAAGCGTCCGACTTAGGCTCAGATCACATGATCTCACGGTTCATGCGTTTGAGCCCCGCATCAGGCTCTGTGCTGACAGCCCAGAGCCTGGAGCTGCTTCAGATTGTCTCCCTCTCTCTCTGCCCCTCCCCCCACTCGCACTCTGTCTTGTCTCTCTCTCTGTCTCTCTCTCTCAAAAATAAATAAACATAAAAAAATTTAAAACAGGGCCTAGTGATGAATTGGAAGGAGTTGAGGATGGTGATGAAATCACAATAATAGTTTTGTTCTGTGCCAGGCACTCTCCCAGACTCTTTACTTTACATGTCTGAACTTATTAGATCTTCACAATGAGGGAGGAGCTCTTTTCAACCTCATTTTACAGATGAGTATACTCATACTGAATGAAGCCCAGAAGACGGTAAGTTTTGAGCCCAAGGTCGCACAGTTGGGAAGGGGTATGCCCAGGTTTCTACCTCTTAGAAACCTCTTCTAAACCTCTTCTGCCGCCTTAGGGCGGCATCTCACAGCTGACCCAGAAGGTGTGCATGCCTTCAAGGGACTGGTGA